TTAACGTTTTTTTTTTTTTTTTTTTAATATTATTGTTTTATTATTAATGTAACTTGTTAGATTGTAGGATATATTGCTCTCCGAAACGCATCATTGGCATTACGGGGAAAACACTCTGCACTTTTAGCTGGATTGGGTAGAATAAGTTTGGAAACTTTAGTTGCACAAGGTCATATATGGTTGGCAGCAGATTCGCACGGAGTACTTGTACTATTACCCAGATTCCCAGTACTAAACCTGTTGGTTACATCGTTCATTTTCATATGCGCCAGTCATGAAGTAAAAATTAGATTTTATTTCTTGTATTAATTGAAAATTACAATTACAACTTTAATGATAAATTTAATGATTTAAAAAAAAAAAAAGAAAGAGGTTTTTTCCTTATGGAGATTCTTTATTATAGATTCATAGATTGACTCACGTTTTGGCATCTTATGCAGTACCGAATGATTGGAAACTAGTAGCTCGTAATTTGCTGCTCTTTACAGCTGTGTTGGTACCTATCGGCATTCACGATGGAATGTTTTAAAAAAATGGTAACGTCATCGTCATACATGAAAATAAAAATCAAAGAGATATTAGCAGTATTATTAACATATACGAAGAGAAAACTCCATATCATAGCCCATGTAAAGGGAAGATAATTAAGTAAATAGATGTTACGCTTTTCTTATAATAAAATGTGATAAAAAAAAAAACTAAATTGCATATCAGGTATTTCAAAGATTATTATGTGATTGTATAAAATATTTTTTACTGAAATTATTTACTGTATTCGATTAAAATTAAAAAAAAATTGAAAATAGTTATCATTTCACTTGTATTTTATGTATATTTTACTATTTTATAAAATTGACATATTTTATTGAGTATAATTTTATACATTTATAAATGTACATACATATAGTAAAAACACAGCTTGATAAATTGACAAATAAGTTCTAATGGATTTGTTATTTATTAAATTATGTTTAAAATTTCACACAAAAATATTTTACTAATTAAAATAGCATTATCTATTAACAGTTTGCATATCGTATTTCACATGGCTAGTATAGATATCATAACCAAGAGATATCATATTATCATAAAGTACTCTATATCGTGTAGGAAGGAAATAAAAGTTAATAACTTGTGCTGGAGGCCAAATGACCCATTCAGCTACATATAGTCGATGTGCTTTTTTCCTAATTTCATTCTTAAATTCTGTCAAATTGTTATTTTCCATTAAGGCCAGTGTAAAAAAAAATGTACTTATACAGAGAGGCGAACAAATTAACTGATCGATAATAACTTTTTTTAAAACTATACGAATAGTACATCCAGCCATTCTACTATCTAAAAACTTATACCAGTAATGACAAATTATCCCGATAGACATACCAGATATGGACATATTTCTCGTTCTGGTAAAACTCCACTTATCCCATTTATCCTAAAAAGAATATCGACAAGTTATCACCAAGATGTAATATATCATGAAATGCTACGGTTACAAACCTTTAATATCTCATAATGTTGCTCTAAAATATCTCCTATGCCAGAAAGAGAAATCGATATCCCTATATTCGTGTACAATAAATGTTTAGGAGAGAATAAACATTCCCTCAAGTGATTTATTCTGTTAAAGGTTAGCCCCATTCCTCTCGCAATATTCATTGCCTAAAAAATTAAATATTGTTATTAGGTACTGCTACTGCAATATTTTAATCCATATCTTGTGTGATAAAGTACTGAATAAAATCCAAAGTAAATGATATTGTTTATTTTTAATAATTTTACAATTAATTCTACTGTGGATATGAAACTACAAAATATATAATTATACACATTTGTCAGCTTCAGAAAATGCTACTTTTACATTATCCGAGAAAATTAAATATCCATTACGGTTACTTAAAATACGTATATAAGCTCAATAATTAAATGATACCAACGCAATCCGATGTTTATTACAACAGAAATCATGATCATACGGTATAAACACGTTGACATATGTCCTCACGTTAAAAAAAATGAACGAATCATTACATAATAGGCGCATTCAGCGGATTCAACAGTTGAGTGAGCGCTCGCTATTATTGGTGTATTCTTCCAGATCTAAAATTCTGATTGGATGATCTAAAAGTATAATCCAATCGGAGAGACTAATCATAAAACGATAGCAAAATCATCTCGCTGATTGGATTATACTTTTAGATCTAAAGGAATAGTCCTATCTCAGCAAAGAATCATAAAACAGTTGTAAAACTGTTTTGAGTCTGCTGGGTATAAGGACCTCTTTCACCAACGCCGATTAACTTAATCGACGATTAGTCCATTGGAATTGACCAATCGCATTTATCATTTAGTTTTGACGACAGGCGCGATTGGTCAATTCCGATGGACTAATCGTCGATTAAGTTAATCGGCGTTGGTGAAAGAGGCCCTAAGCCTTGTGTCCACGATGCTAGAAATCGGTCCGAGATCTCGGATGAAGAAAGAATTAACAAATCCATTTGAACAATTTGGTCACATGACCAATGTAATTGGTCAATTTTTCCTTCATCCGAGACCTCGGACCGATTTCTAGTATCGTGGACACAAGGCTTCATCGATCATGAAACTTTTTCCCTAGGAAGAATAGTGAAAAATGAAAATTTTTATCATTGAAGTTAATGGAGTAGCTTAGCTTTTTCGTTCTAAAAACGATCCTCAATTTGTTTTCACCGATAGAGGCGCTGTTGTAGTTGAGCACCCTACCGTCTTCCGTTAGCGCAAATATTATTGGAACCATTGCGTATAATGGAGGCATTGAGGGTGTGGCTTAAAGTTTCGACAATCAGTTGTTACCCAAGCGGAGACGCGCGTATCTTAAAGTGTTAATTGAAAATTAAAACACAATACATGGAAAATTAAATATATTAAATATAAAATATAAAATAAATACAAAATATGAATATAAAATATTAATAAAAATAACATGCATAAACGAAACAATTTGGTATATTGACACTTTATTGATACTTCTACAAGTTCTACATATGATAACAGCACGCGCGCGACACACTCAAGTGTCGACCAGTTGGCCATACTGAATTTTGCACTTGGGTAAAAGCTGATTGCTCCCCCACTACTTTCGAACGACTGCGCGTCCACCGGAATGGTTCACCATTACTATATTTCCACCATGATTGGAACTAGTTTGTCAAATACTCCGTGAACTAAACTGAACTAAAAGGCGGGCTTTCGTAAGGTTACAGGTTATATTGTGGACAACGATTAACGATATCAACGCAACGTTGTGATACATACGTTTTCGAAAATAACGACTTGTTCGCGTTTGCGACAGTTTGCGATCGATATAAGTAAGAGAAACTATGTCGCAACCATCAGTAACAGCATACTTTAATACGCGCAAACGGCAGGCGTGCGACGAATTACGTGTCAAGTCGAAGATTTTGCTGCTGGAGCAAGATAATCAAACGCAGACAAGTATCGAAAATTTGGAGAAATCTCCGGCAAATATGGGAACTAGTCCGAAAATTGTGTTGCAGAATGCTACCACCGCTGCAATGTTAAAGAAAGGTGTTCGGATTAATAAAGCGGTTCGCAATATCCAGTTCGATTCTTCAAAAACTAGTAGACCCAAAACACGAGCCACTCGCTCTCGTCCATTGTCTTCTACGGATGGAAGCCAAGCGGATATTAGGGATAGCTTTTTGAAGGTGGGCAATGATTCCTCAGAGATAAAAAAAGTTCTTTTTGAGAAGAAAGGTACGCTTAGTCCAAAGAAGAAGCTGCAGACATCTAACAATACATCGAAGGATAACGCAATGAAAGATACTGAAAAGGAACATTCTGCCAATAGCTCTCTCACTCCAGCCTTGTCAAAAAAGCTTTCAACAATGGAGAGATTTATAAAAAATGAAAATTTAAACTCAACCGACATCAAAAACAGAATTAACAAATCTTCCAGATTAGCAGAGCTAAAAGCTATAACTCGTCGATTTGCGAATTATGATCAGACATTGGAACAATTGCAAAAACAGGATGAGATTAAGAAACCTCACATGCAAAAGTTTGAGAAGGTGGAACTCGAAATTCCTGTAAGGTAAGGATCTTATTTATCAATTTAATTTAATTTAATTTTCACATATACATGCCTTGTTATTCTCTTTTTCTTATACAAAGCCCACAAAAGACATATAAATCCCCAACCAAGGGATTACTGACTCCAATCAAGGAGAGAGATTTCTCAAAGACAACCAGTCCCCAGAGACGAATTTTGTTTGAGCCTAAAGAAACAATGTCAAGTCCAGGAAAATCCAGCCCTACTAAGGCATATCAGAAATATCTGTCATTGGCTGAAAGTGAGACACCTGGATTAGCATTGCCATATGAATACAGATTTCTAGCTGAAATATTCAGATGTGTAGATACGGTAGTACCCTTGTAAATTTGTTAATATTTTTATTATAATTTTTACCTTGCAGATTTTTTCTATCTCATTAATTATTTATCGTTTAAATTTGTTTTTGTAATATAATACATAATCAAGCATTCAATTTTGTCCTTAGGTTTCAGCAATGCTGTTTAACAGAAAAGAATTGATAACATTTAATAAATTGAGACCTGCAGTTCAAGAATTGCTACGTCGTAATTTTACACAAGAGCATCTAGCTCAAATAAAAACTATTTACCCTGATGCTTATATATACCATCAAGAGAAACATCGAAATTTTGGTTCAGTCTCCAAGCAAGAAAAATATGAATTAGTTCTAACACCTATGGTTGAAAAAATTAATGGGAGAAATACGCCTGATGCAGATAACATATTAAAAACTGCATCTGAAAGTAGTATGAGTCCTACCATATTGCTGGAAAGAAGGAAGAAATTTTATAGTGCTTTATTAGGTGCATATTATTCTTTTTCTTCAAACGGTTTTATCGATCAAATGTAACATATGTATGAACACACACGTACGTATCTTTAAATGTATTGTTACAGAAAGGGTAAAGAATGAACATGAAAAATTTTTACTGAGCTTTGAAACTCCAAAATTAACAAATATACCAAGAGAGAAAATAGTACGCTGGCATCCCGAATTTGATGTGGAATCTTGCAAGAAAATTGAGCAAGCTGTGTTACCACAACCACCTTATGTTGAAAAACCAACTGCTAGAGATGTTCTTGGTAAGCGTTATGATATTGATGGGTAATAATAAGAATTTTATATGGACAAATTTCATTTTTTATTGCTATTGAAACTATAATTGTAATATATATGCATACTATAGAATATGCATGCTATAGAAATTCATAAGATATCAGGATAATATAAAAAAATACAGAGTACACAGCTCTATTATTGTATATTATATGTATATATTACACTCAATGATATAATATAGTCTTAATTTGGATAACAACTCTTTAAGTAGGACAAAAAAAAGTTGCACAAAAGGACAAAATAACAATGCGTTTGCATAGTTGTGAAACTCGGTTTTTAACTGTTGCAAAACTTTATTGATTAATCAGCATATAACGCAATCGGTATAGAGCTACTGCTTACGCGTAATACTTAAGCAGTTACATTATACATTCTTGCATTATGCGCTACCCAACCCAATACTTAATTAATAATTTAACTGTAGAGAATGGATTTAAAGTGTCACTTCAAAAGCATCAAGTTATTTGCAGAATTTGTAGGTTTCTCCTCTTTTTTTTAATTAATGTGGCCTGTATAAAATTGACAGTTGTGTATATATAAATACAGTTTATAAGATATTTATACATGAATATTTTTCATTCGCGTTATTTATTTATTTTTTTTTTTACAGACAAAGCTAAATCTTTGTTTAATTGTGGTACACGTATGGAGAAGGCATTGCAGAGGCTCGCTGAAGCAAATCTAACTACTAAATCCAAATATCCATATTCTACACAAGATTCTACAACCCAAACAACAGAAGATAATATTCCGAAGGTTAATATTGCCATTGTGGATACTCCAAGTACACAATCCATACAAACTGATAATTTCAGTACACTATTTAAAGGCATCCCTAAGGCTTTGCTTGAAAAGGTAAGAATAATTGTTTTAAAATAGTAATTGATATTTATTGCAATAATATTTATATTTTAAAAACGTATTACCACTTCTTTTCTTCTGAATTTTCATAATTATAGGTTCGTGCCAAACAAGCAGCCAAGGCGCTAGAAGCAATGACGAGAACACCAAATGCAGACAAAGAGGCTGCATTATATTCGAGGCTTCCTGAATTAGCGAAACTCATTCGCAATATTTTCGTGGCGGAAAAGAAGGGCGTTTTACCACTGGAGGCAGTCATACAAAAGTTGGGCAATTCTTTTAGAACGAAATTAATGTCACAAGAAATGGAGGAACATATACGACAATTGTGCAAGCTTTTACCTACATGGGCCAGTATACATAACGTACGAAAGGTTGATTATTTGAAATTAGATAAAAACGTTGAACTTGCTAAAGTGATTGAACGATTAGAAATTTTAGCCAATGATAAAGTTAAAATAGCATCCTAATATTGTATATTTCGATAAATTATATTTTGAATATCTCTGTATTTTTACCTAATAGTGAAACTATTATGCTCCTAAAGTTGGAAACTGTTAATTTTGCATCTTTACATCTATATCATGATAAAAACAGGACTGTATAATGCGCATTTTATTATGTATAATTTATGACATTACCATTTGTTCTTCACACTTCACAGGACATTTTTAGTAAATTTGAAACTGTGAAGTATGAAATAAAATTTAACAAATGGGAATATATACATTTATGCAACATTTTATATTTTCTTTTCCTATTTTATTACTTACACAATATTAATAAATTATAATTACTGTATTATATTGATTTGAAGAATTGTTTGTTCAGTAAAATACAATGGTATTATTAATGGGAATAATATTGTAAGATGAGGTTATTTTCAGAAAAAAATATCAATATGGATTTGTTAATCAGAAATTAGAGTAAATTGTATAAAAAAAATTTGCTATATTTATTAAGCAAAACTGTTGACAATATTTGTGCCTTGCCTTTGATTTTAGTGTGTATGTTTATTAATAAAGCCACCGAAAAAAGTAATTTCCGATAAATTATTTATATCCGATAAACTATTATTATAATCTGTATATCTTTTGCATGCATGTGTGTACAGAGTCTTTTAATTGATAATATATTATGTTTAATGGGCCTTCTACAATAAGCCATAGGTCATAAATTATAAGTCATAAGCTAGAAATGGACCAACACACAGTCGTTAATTTTTAGTTTCTTCTGATTTATAACTTATGGCTTATTGTAGAAGGTCTATATAATGGTCTAATCTAATCTTTTGACATTTAATAAATTAATTTTCTCGTAAAATATAAATTTTAGTAAATATTTTAAATTGTTTCCATTGTTTTTACACAATTTACTTTTATGATCCTTTTAATTTATGCTTATTTATTACAATTTTTTAATATGTGTGTGTGTGCATGCGCGCGCGCGTATATGTGTAGGTATATAAATGCGCCTTTTTCGTTTAATTTAAACGAAAAAAATGCAATTATAGAGGAAATAAGTTAGAAAGAAAATGATATATCGTTACTATAATCATACATTTCCTAATACATTTCCTTTTCCGTTTTCCGTATATATACATACATGTATAATACTACTATGTAAGCACAAAAAATTTAGTGAAAGATTGTTATATTGCCTGTAATGATTTATCATACGATTTTTATTTATGATTTATCTAAGATTTATATTATACGTAGTAAAATATATCTTATTGCGATAACTTCACAACTGTAAGATGTAATATTATCGACAGCTGGAACATTATCTGGAATATTATCGACAGTCTATGAAAGTTTCAATGAATATGCATATTGGTGTGTGTGACTTGGACGATTTCTAACCTCTTTTTTCAAGTCGAGCAAATTCGAGCGAATCAATGATACTGTTTGTATTTATTGTAATGCTTGACATTCATTTACAGTGCACATAATTTTAAAATTGTACTGAAAGAAATTTTTGAGATACCATGTTCCTAACAAACACGCTGTTGAAAAAGGCAAAGAGCAAGTAAGTAAAGCTATTAATAAAACCGAACAAAAATTTAAGGTTAGAATTTGTACATTCGCGAAGCAAAAAGTCAATTTTTAGAAATAATTTGAAATATGTGCCATAATTTATGTTTGGATTTATTAAATGGATTAAATCAGAAGATGAGATTAGACATAACGTGTATTATCGGGGTTACAAAATAATTATTAATTCTAATCTTATTATAGGCATGTCTTAGTCCTTGTAGAAAGTGTTATAAGTGGTCATCGAGTGGTGCGTGTCAGAGAAAGATTGGCTGATAAATTAGAATTTACATTCTTTGATCCTTATAGTAAGCGATTATATTTACAGTATTTATACATATTTTGTACAAGATTATATATATTAATTACAATAAGAAAAAGAACATAATTGAATAATTATATCGTCTATGCTAGTATTCAATATGTTCTTTAAAAGTATTTACATATTTTTCTTTAATTGTAATTAATATATATAATTTTTAACAAATAGAAATTATACATTGTGGAATGTACATTATGAAATATTGTTTGATACTTGGAAACTAATTTATTATTTCTTTTTACAGTTCAACAGATAACGCTATATAAAGAAAAGAAAAAATTAAGTAGCTTATAATTTACAACTATTGTATAGTGTTTTCTATAAGTATTGTAATACTATTTACAAAATTTTTGTCTAGGATAGCAAAAATATGTTATTTTAAGTATAGTGTAACACATACATTTTCAGTATGAGATTTTATTTATTATATATTCAAATATAAATGCGTTAAAAGTCTTATACACAATATAATAACATAATATGTCTCTATATTTAATCTATTACCAAAATGTAGTTATCTGATGTTTTTTTTTTTTATAAATATGATCAAGTGGTAAAATGAATATAATAAATATCAAACATATGATACTGTAGTGTAATATAAATGGCTGTAAATAAATCACATGATAAAATGTTCTTATTCGATTTTATTATATAATATAATTTTGTCGTTTTATTTACAGACTTTAATTAGTAATTCGAAATACATAATAATTTAACACTCACCCTGGAAAATTGGGAGATCTCAGGTTTGATTCCAGAAGTAATATTTTTGCAATAAGTTTTTTTTACATATTTTTCTAATTTAATTATTTAATATAATTTAGGGGGAGATTATTATTTATAATGTTTCAGATTTTGTGTTAAAAATTTAAAAATTAGCGGAGCGCAGTCATGTCTGAAATAAATAAATCTCTAATAATATATCGTAATATTTTAAATATCCTATTTTGACTTAATTGGTAGTCTTATAATGATTTGACGTTCGAAAGCATTAAAATAATAATTTGATACCTTTATTATAAAAAAAGGCAAAAAAGCTTTCCTCAATCTCATTTTACATATCATTATTGGAAGTTTTATCAAATTAAATAAAATGCAATGAACAAATATTTTGTCAAAGTTTCATGCGGTCATGTCAGAAGGACAGAAAGCGAAAGAGAGGCGAACGGAGAATCGGTGAGAGACCAGCCAAGAGTCTCGACATCGAGATTGGGGGTAGATTTCCTTTGATCCTTAACAAGGAACACAAAGTTGTATTATTTCCACCTGGGTTTCAAACGGTTCAAAATCCGCCAGGCGTGAAACACGATCCGCCTTCTCTCTCTTCCTCTTCATCTCGCGCCCGCTTAGACTTTTCGTCCCTTTCCCTTTGCTGGAGACTTCTCTCACTACTTATTCTCATTCTCTCTCTCTCTCTCTCTCTCTCTCTCATCTTCATTCCATTCTTGTTCTTCACTTAGTTTCGATTGTGGTACAGGAGCGGCAGAGTCGTGCAGTTTACTGATGTTACAAATTCAATTTCTCCTCAGCCCAGATTATTTTGTCCACAGGACGGAGAGGGGGATCGTAGAAGAGGTTATATTCTGGAAAGAGAATCATCTCTCTATCTTTCGCGATTGTGCATGTGACAGCTCGTGAAGCTCCAAAGCTTCAGTGCTTTTTCCATCTCTCTTTCTCTGAAGAAAATACTTCCTCCTGAGTGTGTACGCATGCATGCAGCACTATACGATTTGCAATCCTGAGACAAGCATTTTAGCCGTGCGACAAGCCAAAAAGGATACCCAACGAATCTTTCCACGTACATATTTTGAAACATCACAAATTTTATATCTAGTGGATTAATTCTTAGCAAATATAATATTATTATAAACTGTCAGCTTTTCATATTATAAGTGTGAGAGAACGTGACTGACAGCTCTAAATAAGATTTATTTAAACATAAAAAGTTTTAATTATATTATTTATATTATAACATATATAAGAATGCAAGTTTATTTAGTCATATTTGGAAACCGCACGACAATTCAGTTATATATATATATATATATAATATGTATCAATGTATAATATAATTATTGATTAACTATTACTGCACATAAAATCTCTGATGAGCTTGTGATGCTAACAATAAGAAAAAAGAAAAAAATTTTTTTCAACGCGAAAAATATCGGTAGAGAACTTGTGGGTAATCATAAGGTAAAAGAAAGAAAAAGAAAGAGACAAATGTAAACAAATGCGAAAGAAGTCTGGTTTTCCAGGAGCGTTTCAGTTGGTTTCAGTCAGTTTCAGTTGCCTCGCGCGTTCGAGGGTGTTTTTTTTGCGTCCGCGCGAGTTATTCTCCGCGCTTGTTAACAGTGTGCGCGAGCCCGCTAAAGTGGCCTCGCTGCTAATTAACTGCGTTATTTTTTACAACTCTCTCGCGCATTTCTATTCGTCTTTGCCCTCCTCCCCTTAACCACCGTTCTTCTCTCCGGCGCGGCGCTTCTCGTGGCGCCCACCCTGCACAACGGGGTTGTTCGATATTTTCCCCGAGTGCAGCGGCTTTATTTATCCGCCGCGGTCTTAACTATTAAAAAAAAACAAAAAAAGAAAGGCTTGCGACAACAGAAAATAAAAAGTTATAATGTTATAAAGCAGAATTTTTGATACACACATATATTAAATCGTATTAGTTCTATAATTTCAAAGTTCATTCTTTTATAGTAACTTGCGCGAAAGAAGCGAATGTGAAGCAACGTCAAGCTTAAATACAGCATTATAATATATCTTGTACGCTCGCATATTTATTAAAATGTTTTATTGGACGAGCAAAGAAGTACTTGTAATTTAATTGATCCACACCCTCGTCCCAAATGCATCAAACATCGTAGGGGGATATAAGATATATTATAGGTAAGAATATAATTCTGAAAACTTAATATTACCGTGTCAAATCCTCGAGATCGGTGTAAGGTGAAGAGATGGCGATGGTATCTCTCTGCACCGCGCGGTGCGGCGCGGTGCGGCGCGGCGCGACGCCGCTGGCGGTAGTGGCACGGCACCCTTCTTTTCTCCGCCACGAAAAGGTACTTGAAATAAATTGAAAATGGCTGGTATCGCTCTGGCCCCCGGACAAGTGATACCTACATCATCTACACGCACACTAGCCTCCCCCTTTCACCGCCTTTCGCCCTCTACCTCCGCGCCGCCCCCTCCCTCCCGCTGCGTTCTTTCATGAATTCGAAACGCGGCGTTCGAGTCAGATCGGAATCCGGTCGAATCATTTCAATTAATTCAATCGAGGGTGGGTGGAGGTAGAGCGAGGGAGAAATAAATAGTGCGTCTCGGGAAAGTTTGTATGCGTGAAGCTATTGTTAATCTCGAGACTGTATCTTATTCGACATTCCTCGGGATTGAATCACGAGATGTGACGTTGCAATTATTATATAACTATCAAATATTTATCGAGAAGACAAATGACGCTACGTGAAAATTTAGTTCTAGGACAGAGTCCTTCCAAAACACGATATATGTATATTGTATGTCACTTATAATGATAAAAATGATGTATAAAAGTTTAAGCTCTTAAGAATACAAATTCGAAAATCTTTTTGTTGAAGGGTCGCTTATACATATATGTTTAAACATCAAATTATTCTCGCCAATAGGCTCTCTCTCTCTCTCTCTGTTGATTTTTGAAAATTATGTATGTCTATCGCAAAATCATACAATTTTATATTTTATATTTTCTGAAATAAAAAATTAAAAATGACATTTGTTAGACATAAAGTATATTCTCCCATTTCTTCTTTTCCATGTGGATATCATTTATTTATAAGAGTTTACGCGGCAGTCACTCTAAAGAAATCGCGTAAGATAAAATTTTAACCCTTCCGTTGAAAAAGGAAATAATGTCGCGCGATGATTCGCGGTATTCACTAAGTTCTTGGTCCTAGAGAAAAGCTCGGTTTGCGCGGTTTTCCGTGTGCGTTGACGCAGAGGCGCATAAACGAGGGCGCGGCACACGTATGTACACACACGTGCGTACGAAATCTCACATATACACGCGCGTAGCAGTAAGCCAAGGCACACACGAGCGCGACAAGGTGTATTGAATCGACGAGTATCATGCAGCTGACAGCTAGAGCTAATTGAATCTTGACTCTATCTATCTGTCGACCCGAGGCTGAGACTCGCCACCGCTACCAACGCCGCGCGCCGCCACCACGAATTGCATTTTCCGTTCGTTCGGTGGTATAACGCGCTCGACCTCGCTTCCGAAGAATTCTATCTTTCCCCATACCTCGCGCTTCCTTCCTTCCTTCCTTCCTTCCTTCCTTCCTTCCCTCGCTCTCTCTTCATTTCTCCTTTCTTTCCTTATCTTTCCTCCCTTCTCTCTTGCCGCGCGCTTGCTCACCCATTACTGATCGTTTTAATCCACATTATTTCGCACCGTGAAAGTAAGTATATCAAGTAAGAGATGCAAGCTATAATTATAGCTTCCCTGCGGATCCGAAAATTTTTGTTTATAAAATATACAGACAAAATACATTGTTAACAACATATTTTTTTTTACAAGTTTCAATTAATAATACTATTATATTCTCTGTTTCCGGTATTGATTAATTCTGTTTCGTCATAGTTATAATATTATATAGAATCTACCGCGCGACGAATTCGTAAAATGCCCATGTATCATCATATGCGATTACTATAGGAAAAATTAGGTATTTGTAAGCATAAAGACACGCACACACATTATATTTATCGTCTCATTGATAGCATCGTCCAATTGTAAATATTTTGATGTATAGTCTTTGTAGAAAGAAGAATCTTGGCGCACGGCACCGCAAAATCTTTTACAAAGGATTACGAAACGCGTGAACGAATGTGCGGTTTCGACCGAGGCAAACGCGCCTCTTATTCGTGCAGATATTCGCGTTTGTATTCGCCACTGTGAGAATATGTCTGTCATGTATACGCGCACTGCACCTGTGTGTATCAGAGAAACGAGAATGATGTGGATTGCGATGAGGGAAAGAGTGACAGGAAAACGAAGAGAAAGAGGCAAAAGAGGGCGAGAAGCCGAAAAAGAAAGAGAGAGATCGAGAAAGAGTGCATGTGTGTGCGCGCGCGCGTGTGAGAGAGAGGGAATTCAATATAACTGCACACACGTTTATAGGGTCGATGGGAATATATTGGAGCGGATATTGAAATACTTGTTGGTAGTTTGAGTTGAAGGCGAGAGATGCCTTTCTCGATGCCATCTTGATTGCGCAATCGAGGCACCGATGCGGCCCCCGCTACAGAATTTGACGATAAAGATCGCACTTAGATTATGGGAGGCCACGGAGGCCGCGTTCCCTCCTCCT